GGCCCTTCGGAAGGGAGCGACTCAGAAGGCTGGGGCTGACATATGTTACTCAGCGTGACGAGCCGAGTCCGTAGACACCAAACTTGTGGACTTTGGACAAACTTTTCCGTTGTGACATTCACACTAGTCTTAATGGTGTGGCACCTCAGCATATGAGAGATGACCCATGGCGGCCCACCGGCGCCCCCCCCCCACCGGCACAGGCATTGCGCCCAGCAAGCAGAGCTAGCCGCCCGGCGGCCCGCCGGACCATGATTCTGACCACTATTCTGTATTAATATTATTTCACTTCCTGTAAAGACCGGCACAGGCATTGCGCCCAGCAAGCAGAGCTAGCCGCCCGGCGGCCCGCCGGACCATGATTCTGACCACTATTCTGTATTAATATTATTTCACTTCCTGTAAAGACCGGCACAGGCATTGCGCCCAGCAAGCAGAGCTAGCCGCCCGGCGGCCCGCCGGCGCCCCCCCCGGCATTACCATCAGTTTGTGTTGTTATTTTCTATAAAATAAATGGAGTATCTATGGTACTTCAAATAAACACATGTAAAGACTTTTTATTACTTTTTTTTGCAAATCAACAGGTGGTGCCAAAGCCAAACGAAGGGCAGCTACAACAAATTATCATTGTAATCTCCACAATAATACTGGTTGTCACCCTGGCCCATATCATTTCCTGTTATAGACTAACCTCGGCCCCCCATCTCAGAAAGGAAAGTTGATGTGGCCCCCACCGAAAAAAAGTTTGGGGACCGCTGCCCTAAACTGATAACATCGCCCCAGTTTCCAATCCAAGTAGCTGTTTGTTCTAAGTTAAAAATTGTCACCATCATTAAAACAGTAAAAGTAATAGAGTCAAATTAGAAGAAGAAGATTAGAAATTTTTTTTTTTTTGTCAAGCTACTGTTTTTCAATGTAAAAAATGGACTTTCACACTGTAGCAAGAAGTGTTTTCTTTGTCGTTTTATTCACGGTTCTACTTCATAGACAGAAAGAGGCTTCATCTATAGGCCAAACACACATTTCAATACAACAAGTACAAGGTGCAAAGAACCTGATATGTTGAAAGATACAGTGTGTATCTCTTCGTAACCATTATGAGAAACATGCGCTAAAATGCCCACAGAAATACACACATGACTACAGGCTTGAATTTGCACCTGCTTCTGTAAAAAGCATTTGGTGTGATAAAGTCTTTTGGGAAATTCTGGACCTGAGGGAAGAACACAGCGTCATCAGAGGCTCAACACAAGCTCACTGGGAGTTCAACATCAGGCTCTTCATCACACCACAGTGAATTCATAATTTGGCATGAAATCCAGGAATTTTTAATGTTCTCCGATCACTTTTATTAAACCCGTGGAATAAATTACACACACTTGAAATGAGAGGTCAACTCTTTAAATAACTCCTGGAAGTTTCACATTTTGATTAAACAGCTGCAAATTTCTGTTTCAAAAGATACATCTCTCATTTCAAAATCAACATAAAAACTGATCAGATCTGGTCAAATTGCTAAAACATTTGTGATTTTGTGATTAGTAGGTGGAGTGCAAAACAGCCTCAAAATCTTTGCAGATGTGAGCTGATATGTAGTGAGAGAAACCAGATAATAAAATGCTAAAAAAATGAAATAATATATTATCTATTTAATGTGTTTTCTTCCTCTAAAGTTTACACAGTGCGTTTAATTGATTTTATGGCCCTGAAACTTGCAAAAAAATATTTTTGAGCCAGCTTTGGAAATGCAATCAACACCTGCAACAACATTTACATTTTGCACTGGTTTCACTGAAACCAATGCTTCAATCATTTTTTATCTGAGGCATCTGCCAGACTGAGGCTAGTGCAGGTGTTGGTGTAGGTGTTTGAGTGCGAATGTGAGAAAAAAAACAAAACAAGGAGAAAGTGTCTTAAGCACGCCAAGAGCCAGCGGCAGGAATTAATCCTCATTAGGATCTGGCACCACCACCACCCATCTCTCCCCGTATGAGTGTGTGTGTGTGTTTATGTGTAAGACTACATGGCACAGATACAACTCCACAGTAGCATCTAGCTTTATGTTTGAAGATCACAGACCCTGGTCAAAGGGTTTTTCCCTGCACATTTATGAATTAGGCAGACAATCAAGTGTAAACAAAAACCATGCAAAAATGCCTTCTAATAATAAAGCGGTTTATATGAATCACCTGTAACTAAGCGTCATAGTTGCACAGTGGTGACAGAATTAACTTCACTGCAGAATGAGCTGTGTAACAGAGCAGGGAACAAATCACTGCCAACCATGCACCATAAAACAATAAATGTTCCCTTTACAAAGTAATTTGTTTATTATTTAATCCACTTTCACATTAACGAAACATTTAAACACTTCAGCAGTGTGGGAAATTTGCCTTCAATGGTCGTATCAATCTTCTCATCTAATTTTCTGCAAGAGAGTAAATAATTGTATTTCCCAGAAAACTATTTCTTTAACTTCTTGCCTGATTCTGAATGGCTGTCCAGATACTGATACTCTATATGCAAAATAACTGGATCACCGTTATATAAACTCTCAGATTTCTGATAATTACAAAGCATACTAATCTCTATGCAGCTATTTCAATTAAATATTCATTCATTTCCAATTAATATTTACCCATCAAATAAATAGCCAATCAGATTGTTGCTCTTGAAATAAATAATTTGACTTTCGACAGTTAATAAAGCACCAAAACAATTAATAAATAAAAACATTGAAGATGCCCAGAAAGCAAAAAAAGAAAACAAGAGAGCTGACTAAAGCTAACTGTTCCATTTCTCTCTCTCTCTCTCTCTCTCTCTCTCTCACACACACACACACACACACACAGCATTTAATCACAGTGCACAGACACACACGTGTTTAATGTGGTGTACAGCTTGTTAGACTGTAGCCGAGTTCATTAACTGGATGTTGAATTCTTCACTTTACTTTTACTGGCCAACCGGTTTACAGGCCAGTCGACCACCTGAGTTTCAGGCCATTGATTGATTTATTGACTGTCTAATGAAATGACTGTCTGATTATCACCAATCAACTTCATACTAATTTGACAGTCCCTCAAGCTACTCCTGACAGTCTGATTGACAGGCTTGTTAACTACTCAGCTCTGCAATCCTCCTCAAAGAGCTATCTAGATTCATAAAATTAAATTCACCTAACTTGATAAAAATTCTTGCAAATTCTTGTCACTTTCTTCTGTTGTTTGCTTTTGATCTACTGCTCTTCTGTATACTGTAATTTTATACACAACAGACTACGTACCAGTTGAATTCATTTGCTCAGTGGTCACTAAAATCAACAGGGCAGACTGTACATCCGGCTGTGTGAAGATGTGACACAATTATATCTGATAACAGAGGACGTGCAGGAAGGAGAGTGTTGTGACTCCAGTGAAGTTGTGTTAATAGATGCAGCAGTTTGGCTGCGTTGCTAGTAAAAGCTGATGAATATTTCAGATCATAAGTCGACAACCAGAGCGTGCATTGCTGTTTGGAGAAACCCCCCTGCCCTGTAGATGCGTATGTACCTCAGGTGGAAAAAGCCTGTATTATTAATATTCACTTTTCAGGTTATGAAACTCTGTGATTGCGTTTGGTCCAACAATATCTACAGTGGTTGTGATGCCTTTTAAGGAGATGCACGTAGTTAACTTCTTCAAACTAATAAAAAAAAAAAAAAAAATACAAGTCTTTCTGTCACATAATATATTAAAATTATCACACACACACTATCCTCATATTGTGGCCATAAAATAATTTTAAAGCACAGTGGTAAATTTTTGAAGAGAAATATGATGTTGAAGAAGAACTGAGTCCATGTACTGTAGCTCTGTTGACGGCTGTTCAGGGTGGATGTTGGCGCAAACCTGCTAAATATTTTAAGAATGTAAAAGTACTGGTGTCTTCCCCATATTCTTTCAGCAGTAATGGGAGAGACAGCTAGAAAACTGCTACAGAAAATATAAAAATAACATTAAAAAATATGGATTTCAATACCTCCTGCAAAAGGCCCACTGCTTGTATTTGGTGCTGCATGCTAACTGTGTGTGAAGTTCCCATTTTAGGTGCAACAACAGTTTGTTTTGTGTGTCAAATGCTACTGTTAATGTAAGTCACTGGCATGCGGAGTAAAGAAACTAATAAAAGGCTCACAGGCCAAAACTCTCCCTCCATCACTACCTCTTTCTCTCCCGCTCTCCTTCTTTGCTTATAACTGGAAGCTTTCAGCAGAAAACGCTGCTCTTTAATAATTTGCATTCATGTGTCATCGTGCTGGCTACAGGCACTATTGGCTCTCAGCGATGGCTGCTGATCCAACAAGCGCACAATAACACTTTCAACAGAAATCCAAGTCAAGCGTGATGGTCTAAAAAACGAGTTATCAGCAAAAATAATCAGCTAACAGGAAATATACGGAGACACGTGTGAAACGGTACAACAATGGTGGCATGTGAGCAACAGCCTGAAGGAGCAAGATGTGCTAGTGTCTCACATGCACGGACGGATTATGAGACAACAGGCTCCCTATCACAACGTGGCTCTTTGTGGTCATTTTGCATCTCTTTGAGGTTGTTTTGTGTCTTTGAGGTTATTTTGCATCTTTTATAGTCATTTAGTGTCTTTTAGTAGTTGTTTTGTTTCTCTTTGTAGTTGTTATACATGTTTGTGTCTTTAAGTTGTGTTTCTTTGCAGTTCTGTTGCATCCCTTTGTTGTCATTTTGTATCTCTTTGTGGTCATTTAATGACTTTTTGGGTTTCTTGTGGTTGTTTTTGTTTGTCTTGTAGACATTTTGCCTCACTTTTTGGTTTTTTGGCATCTCTCTGTAGTTATTTTGTGTGATTTTGTAGTTCTACTCCTTCCTCTCCAAAGATTTTTGTGGTTGTTTGATTGATTTTCCATCACTTCGGACAGAGGCGCTGACCCTGGAGCCTGTTTACCACTTAGGTCCCTGGGCCTGTGCCCAAAAGGCCCGTCATTCACCCATGCTGACATGTGGTATGAGGTCTGGCTTACATGCTCACAAACATGTAACACACATACACCCTCTCACACACATGCACATGTATCCTGAGGCTGACTAGTGGTTAACATATGTTCATTGTGGTTGAGTAGCAACAACCTGTTTGGCACCAAGATAACTGACCTCCTGCTTCTCTCTACCTCGCCCTCCGAGCACAAGACGAGCTTCAAGTCTTCAAAGTCTGTGTTTGTGTATGTATGTTTGTATATTGTTCATCCGTCACAAGAGCAGATGTGTGTCTGCTGTCACCGTGTGTCAGTGTGTGTGTGTGTGTGTGCAACAGTCTATATCCCCACCGCCACATCAGAACAGTTGTAGTAACACCTCAGGTCCCCAGTCCATGGCTGTCTGAGCCACAGCGAACACAGCCGCCCCGAGTGTAGCAGACAGCCCCCACACTGCCATCTTCACCATCCTGTTCCCCTTCCCCCACAGCTGGCCTCGGTCCCGGGGCAAAGCTGCTTCCAGGCCTGAGTGTTGAGAGGCTACGAGCACAAAACGAGGAGGAGGGGTCAGACAGCGAGGAGCAGAGACACGGACCGGTCAAGACGTTTTATAATGCTCAAAGCTGAACCAAAGGAGCATCAAGCTGCATTTTGTTAGTGGGATTGAAAACCAAAAGAGGTTCAAGGAATGTCAAACACTTGGAATAGGGGGGGGGGGGCGCAATTTAACATGTGTTAACAAGTTATATCAGTGATGGTAGATTAAATATTAAAGACACCTCTAAGTTTAAACAAATACATGACAGAATGATCACACAGTTACATCAACAGCTCTCTACAACAGTTTAACTTATAACTGAATATTACAATCTTTATGGAAACTGGATTAATTGCAGAGCTGTTGTATTAGACTACTTTGGTTTAAGCTAGGCAGACCAAATAAGTGTACAGTCCTTAAGTTTTCAGCCCCGTTTCATTTGGTGAAACCCAACAGGAAATTATGACACTGAGCGCAGAAAACATCTTAAATTACCCTGTCAATAAAGCACCAGAAGAAGAGCTTGTGTATCTGTTTACAGCCCAGCCAAACAAACCGCCGGCTGGGAGACTTCATCAGTTCATGTTGCTTTAAATAGTAACTGAATACCAGGTTGAAAGGCAGCGTTTCACTGCCCTCTATGGTTGAAGGTTTCAAGTGTTTTGCATTTCTGACAGAAAAGCTAGAAGTGCTGTGAGAGGAATGCTACGTTGGACCTGTAGCCACATCTACCTCTGATGTCACAGTGTGCTGACACACCTTGGAGAACACCTCAACATCACTCCTGCAAGGTGAGAGGTTGGAACTACAGGAGGTCAAAAAGATTTTCAGCTGCTTCAGAGTTGCTCTCTAATGTTAAGTCTATAAGGCTACCTGACACAGTAATACTCAACTCATGTTCAAATGTTGTCCTTAACAATATGTGAAAGCGTTTGTCTGCATCACCGAAGTGTGTGCATGCATCAATTTCGGTGAATCCGGTTTGAGTATATGCAACTTGAATCAAACACAGGAAAGAAGGACTCTCTGCCAATAACAATAAGATGTACTTTGACAAAACAGTCTTAACTAAAGATTCATTTGTTTTCCAGATATTCTGACTGCATCTCAGAGCTTTCATCAGCAAACTGTCAAACTATTATTCCCAAGCTCAAGAACGAACTTTCACACTCAATAAATACTACTATACTACATTTCACACATACACTGAGCAGCTACTGCTGAAAAGATGCAAACCATCTGAAATGGGGTTTAATATGGAAATCTTAAGGATTATCTTTTTAAAGTCCACTAGTCAGTCAATATTTATCTCTGGTTTAAGATTTACACGCCAGCTTATCTCCGGGGCTTGCTGACTCCAATTCACTGTGTGCCAAAGTGAAATCAGGAGGTGCTATAGATCGGCCCTCTGTCTGTCCGTTATGAGTTTTGTCTCGGATGCTGCTAATTGAATTTTGATGAAACTGCTGGGAATGATGTGCATTAATTTTAATAATACACTGTTTGGCCTGAGGGGAATGCTAGAACATGTTTTTGATTGCCTGTACATCACAGACAATATGTCAGACGCCGCTGATCAGATTTTCACAAAACCTACGGGAATAATGCATCTCTTTGTTCTGTTCTGGCACATTTAAATTTGCACTTGATTGGTCTGATGGGGGTGCTACAACATTTGTTTACTTGTTATTGATTGGCCCAAAGGGGGGCAGCGTTTGTGGGGGATGACATATTTACTGTTGCCTTGTTTTGAAGAATTGTGCTCCCATGTAGAGCACAAAAAAAAGAAAAGTGAAGAACTGTGGATCCATCAAACGATTTTGGTTGGGTAGAAATGTTTGTTCTTAAGATCTCACAGTCGATATTCATCTTTTCCCGAACCTCAAAGAGCATCCAACAAGAATTCACAATTTCTTCACTCATCTACAGAGGCGCCTGTACGTTCTGTATGTGTGGAGTCTTTCTTCAGAGCCAGTAATAAGATTACAGTTACTATTTTTACCTTGTCTGGAGGTGGTGGAGCCCTGGGCCTTGGTGAGGCGTTGAAGAACAGAGTCTGGCCTCTGGTGGAGGGTGGAGAGCTGAAACGCCTGGAAGGTGCTGATGGACAAACTGGAGAAAGAAAAAGAGGAGGAAAAGGATGAAAAAGAGTCAGGTCTGAGGTGAAGCATGAATAGTAGGGATGGAGGGATGGAGGGATGGATGGAGGGATGGATGGATGGATGGATGGAGGGATGGAGACAGATAAGGCAGAGAGTTATTGACGATTTGAGAGAACTGCTAACTCAGTAGTTCTTGTGTATAGGAAGCTGTGCATTATGGGACATCAGTATCAGTCAGTCAAGGCCTCATGTCAGTGATGTCACTTCCTGCCCTGAACAATGACTGTAGGTAATGCTGAAGGTCACTGACAGGGAGAGAGAGAGATAGTGATAGACTGTGGATACACAGAGAGAGAATGTAGCTGTGTGTCTAGTTTCCTCCTCACTAATTCAAAATACATGGTCACACGCACGCGCGCACGCGCGCGCACACACACACACACACACACACACACACACACACACACACACACACACACACACACACACACACACACACACACACACACACACACTAAATGGCCTGTATGTGTCAGCAGCACCACTGAATCTTGATGTGTTTTTCTAGCACCTCCTCTTGGTAACTAAGGGAATTACATCACACTACCTTTAGCCAGACGTGCTCTGATGAAATTATTGAGCACAAATAAGTGAAACTGCTGGAGCAATTATTCAAATAATTGATTAGTTGACTGACAGAACACTTATAGATGACAATTTTGATAATTGATTAATTGTCAAAAGTCAATTATCAAGCAAAAGTGTTCTCCGCCTCCAGCTTCTCAAATGTAAATATTTGCTGCTATTCTCTGTTTCTTATTCTTGTGGATTCAATATATTTGGATTTTGGATTGTTGGTCAGGTAATATGAAGACATCGACTTGGGCTCTGGGGTATTTTGGCATTTTATAGACCAATCGGTTAATCGATTAGCCAACTGGCAGATTCATAGTCGTAGTTGGAGCCCTGGAGGCATGGCAGTTGCTCAGGAAACTATGAAGGCAAAAATGCCATGCAGATGGAAAAAAATGCTGAAAATGCATGTTGCGTTTTGTCCACCTGCTTGGGTTGTTTGACGTGAAGCTGACTGCTTATTTATACAGCCAAAATCACAAATATGTCCTAAAGAGCTTTATAATCTTCTTTTTTTTTTCTTTTTTTTTTACAACAAGTAAACCGTCTATCTCAGTTTTCTCTCCATTTGGAGAAGTAAAACTCACATACAGGTACTAAATTCCAATCTCATTCAGCTAAGATGAACTCACACTGTGTCAGCAATAAGAAAAAAAATTACATTGAAACTGAATATTAAATTGTTCATTTAACCCCCTTCGTTGCACTGTTTTTATGCCTGGAGTCACTGCATGGTGCCCATTGTGTTTACTCAGTAGTATTACCATTACGATTCATCATTTTCATTTCAATTTTTGTCTCCTCACCTCTTGCGAGACTGCAGTGCTGCCCGCTTGGCCAGTAATGATGGAGGGTACTGGTTGAACAGGTCCTGGGACTGAGCGATCAGAAGTTCATATGGGAGGTCCTGAGGGATGCGGGAGAGGAGGTGGTGGACCATGGCCATGTCACACTCTGTCTGCTTCACGTCCTTCTCTCTGTGCAACACAATCTGAGGAGGGGAGAAGGAGGGGTTAAAAGTTTATCACTGTGGTAAAATGTGAATTAGTTTCTACATATTGTACTTTAGCCGCTCTCAGTTCTTCTTGTGAGCACACAGAAGTGAAACAGGCAGTTGAAGAGTTAACCCCCCCCATGCTGTGCGTTGTACTCAGCCTTGGAGGAAACATGAACTACATTCTGCTTTGTTGTTTCACACACTTCAAACAGAGCTCTCCCTCTGCCCAGCCCCTACACACACACACACACACACACACACACACACACACACACACATATAAGTGCAAACCAGCAAAATGTGCACAATTGTACACAATAATAAATGTGCACAAAACCCTTCAGTTAAAAAAGGCCTCTTCACAGACACATACATGTTCCAGCAGGAAACATTTGTGCCAAGCAGTGATTGTGGAAGCAGCCAGAGGACTGAAGAGGCTACTCCAGAGTAGAACAACTGAAAAAAGTCAGAGACATAAAAAAAATAATGCTTCTCCTTTTTAATCTGTTTCTCTCCAACCTTCTCCGTCAAACATCAGTCAGCTTTCCTCGTCACTCTGTTTCCTGATGCAGCCCTCATCCTTTATCCTCTCCTTCTCCTTTGTATCTCTCCCTCTGTCCCCTCTTTTCTCTGTACCCGTCTTTCCCTCTCTTGCCTCTGTTCATTAGGAGGTATCTAATTAACTAGTCCAGTGACTTCACAGTGCTCTGCCTCACTGTCTGTGCGTGTGCGTGTGTGTGCGTGTGCGTGTGCATGTGTGTGTGTGTGTGTGTGTAGCAGCATGTATTCATGTGTGAGCATCCTGGATTACAGGCAAAACTAAGTCACAGCCTCTTGCTCGTGTTTCCTGTCAGCTTCGCCGTCCTCTCACCGTGGCAGCAAGGTAGATGGGCATCAGTGGATGTGAAGCCAGGAAGAAGTCGTAGAGTCTGAGGGTGTGTCTGAACTCTGACAGGACGTGGCCATACCATGTGATGAGCCAGGACAACGCAAAGATGGTTCCCACCTCCGCTCTAAAAGAGAAGCCAAATATATAAAGAGAGGTCAACACAAACAAACAAAAAGAACAAATAGGCAACTAATGCCAATAGTCTGATATGTTTTCAAAGTCTTTTTTTTTCCTCAAAGATTTTTTATCTTTCTCATCTCATTATATTCTTTTTTATGTGTTTTTTAAAAAATGTGTTATGTTGCTTTTATATCTTGCCTTTTTATTTTCATTTTTTTCTCCAACCTTTATTTAAGCCCAAAAGCCTCATGAAAAATATAAAAAGTCCCTTTAAGTGTGTTCTGGCCACGATAGTATTGGCATTGAGCTGAAAAGTAATAACAGAAAACAGAAAACAGAAAATAAATACATAAAAGTGGCAATAAAAACCATAGAGCTATAAATGAGCACACTACACTTGATTTCCTATCTTCCAGGCAGCCAGTGGCCTCATTGGTAAGAAATGAACTTGCAAAAAACTCAAAACTTGCTTGACACAGGTGACCCACCAGAGGGAGAAATTCTCTGCAAGCAAGGCTTTCATACTGGAGTGAAATTAGTGAAAACCAATGGTTGATTGGAAGGCAGGAAAGTTTTCTTAAAACTACTGGTGCACTTAGAAAAGCAGTGATATGAAGTAATTTATAGTGAATTGGATAAAATGTGAAAAACCACCAGTATGATCCTTAAAAATATGATCCTTAACCAAATATCACAACATTCCTATTCATTTTTTTTTTTAACTAGAAGCAGGTCAAAGTCATCAGTCCGATGATGGACAACCAGAGAAAGGTCAAAGAAGACATTCGCATCCAATGTCACAGTTCACAAGCTCTCTCCATGTACAATCACCCGTTATTGTCATCATGTGGCCACAGCTTCACAAAGCTACAAAGCTAAAACAAAAAACACCCTGGATTAATATTATTTTGTCACACACACTCAAGTTCAAGACGATTCTCATTCCCTTTTATAGTTTGGCTTAATCCCAGCGTCATGAAACACTGGGTCTACAATATTGTGTCAATATCCCACCAACTTCTAAAGTACTTGGCAAAATACATTTTCTTCACCTTCCCATACTGTTTATAACCCTCCTTTCAGTTGCGTGCTTACATAAACAGATAGTTATTTTAGACAGAGTCTCTAGCAAATTGGAGACTGAGAGGTTGTTGATAAATATTAGATAGGAACATTCAGGGAGGAGGAGGGGAAGGGAGTGACAAGTAAAAATATGTCTGTGTGAGTGATGGACAGGGGGAGGGGTAAAGAGAAGGAGCAAAGGGCAAGGAGCATGTGTGATGGGAGGGACAGAGAGATAAAATGCAGTGGAAGAGGGAGAAAACAAAGGAACAGGCAGCAGGATGAAGGGGGGAGAATAAAAGAGGCAGAGATAAGAAGGAAGGTAAGGGGAAGAGGAACTGTGCACTAAAAAGAGCGTTTCAAGCTTTGAAGTGCGCTGTTGTTTATCCTGCCATTTTTCTGCGAGTGCAGTGTCTTGTTTTTTTTGTGTTTGTGTGAGCTTGTATGTGAGTCGACGGGTAGATTGCGAATATGAAGGTTGCCAGCACAGCATCAATTATGAACAGGCAACAAGACAGCAAAGGTACTGTGGATGCAGGCGTACACACACTTGCACACACCAACACACAAGCACACGCATTAAAATACCTTAGAGGGCAATTCATTGATTTGCAACAATTCCAAACCCAGACCTCACTACACAGCCCAACATTAACCTGCAGTAACTGGCTGTATCTTACAATGATTTTATGTCTCTGTTGTTTCAATGCCCTGCAAATGGATCATGTATCATTTTGGCTAATTACACTGTAGGACATCACAAATAAAGGTGATGGCGCACACCTTGATGGGACTCAAAGGCCTCTGAAACAGCTGTTGGACCATCTGACACCAGAACTCCCCAATGAGATGGATGCATTTTTCAATTTTTGCAAAAACACTCAGCACTTTGTCTCAGGCGAAAGTCAACACTTTGGTGCCCTCTAGTGGTGCTTACTTACATTGCATTACTTTCATTTGGCACAGGTTTGTCCAAGTGACTTACAATTAACTTGACAAGAACAAGAACTGGTTGACATTAAAAACTGTTTAACAAACAATTAAAAGTGTGTACCTGATCATGAAGTCATGTAACTCTGTATCGACTTGTTCCAGTATAGGCATCAGGTAGTTTAAAATGTGTTTAGTGCTGTCCATGGTAGGATCCATAAAATCCCTGCAGACAGAGAAGACAGAGAGAAGTTATATAAATATTACTGCTAAATCATTTGGAACAAGATCAAAAAACGTTGGGTTTAACTGAGCTCATTAAAAGAATAACATGAAATTCTAGATCAGTCGATATATTAGGAGAAATATACAACCTGAGGTGATAATTGGATAGTGTGTCCAACATGGCGATGGCCATTCGCTCCCCGACTACCAGCAGCAGAGTGACAGCCACATCATGGTAGCCCTGGTAGTAATGGAGCTGAGGGTTGTGTTTCAAAACCTCCAGTATGATGTTAATCAGCTGCTCCTGCAGCACGGCTCTCTCTGTGGCTGGCATACCTGAGAGAGAGGATCAGCACATTCAACCACACGCAATGCTGTTAAACATGGAGACAGCCGTGGGTTCTCTCACACACACTTTGATAAAGGCCTGAGCAGCCACATGGACAAGGTGAAGAACTTCATTGAAACGCACTATGTAACTTTTACATTACAGTATTATCCCATTCACAATCTGTCTGTAGCAAAAACAACACATCCAAACATAAACCTGGGAAATGTCTGCGTTTATCACCATTGTGAAGAGGTGAACATGGATCATTGATCCCAGTGTGGCTGCTTATAACCCACGTTTTTTACAGTTGTGGTATAAAACATGACTGTTTTATACAACATGTGCATAAATATTCATCATCAATATATTCTGCAATATATTCTGCATCTTAAGATTTGTTGAGGAGCTTAGTATACAGACAGAGATCAGCAAAATTAAGAATCTAATGTGATGATCTTTCTCTCGTTCCCTGCTGGGTTTTTCATTTTTAGTTAGCTTTTCTGAGCATTTTTCATTTGTTGCTTCCTCTGGGCAGAAAAGTTTATAACTTAGATTAAATTGACTGTCTCTCAATTATAAGACATATTCTCTGTTGCTTTCCCAACTTTGTGATTTTGCCTGACAGCACAAAGACACAAAAAGTCTTCCCTGGCGCAGCTTTTAGTCCATTAATTATTAATCCTTGTCACATATCTGCATATAGCTGTACAGGGTTTAATAAATGGCACTGTGAGTTATGCTGCTATCTTTAGAGATAACAGAGACACAGAGACAGAGACAGAGACAGAGACAGAGACACAGAGACACAGAGACAGACACACACACACACACACACACACACCTTTAGGGAACCGCTTCATGGACCTCCTGACATCCAGGAGTACCTGGTTGTAATCCTTGTGGTTCTCTCTCACATCTCGACCTGTAACAGAAGAAATATGAAATTATAACTGTTATTAGCATCAGCAATAATAGTAGTATTGTATAATACGCTTACAACCAGTAAATATTAACATCAATATACCACTAACCAGGTTTATATGGTAGCTCATACACATTGATGTTCAGAAGTTTAGGCCAGACTTTTCTCCTCAGTTCATCAGTGAGCAGTCCTCCTTTAGTGGCTGCTGCTCTCCTCAGGGTCTCAATGTCCACTGGATCACTGTACATTGAATAGTCAGAATTGGGCAATGTTCAGTGTAATGCATTAAGTTAAAGTCTGCCCATGCACCAAAAAAAATAAAATCAGTGAATTGTAATTTCTTTATTGTAATGCAGTAATGACAATCTTAAACTCAAGACAGTCAGATTCAATTGCTATAATCCTTCTAAATTTTCCTGACACTGTGGCGTCTGTCCTGCACTGATGGCAGCGTGACATGTGTCCACGTGGTGAATGAGGTGAACTGACAAAGAAAACTGTTGTTTTGATTTTGTGCAATCATTTTAGCTGAGCTTTTGGGTGCATTACATCAATACATAAATCTTGGTCAATTCTGCATTCCTGTGCCATTTCACGTCCTCATGATCATCGCCATGCTATTCCTCTGGGCACATGCGAGTATCCCTCATGTGTGAAATTAGCTTAGCAGGGAGTGATGGAGGTCACTGTCTGTGGATAAATGCATGCCATTTAATTGCAGAACAGTATGTTAGATTAGCAGAGGGAGAGGGAGAGCCATTCCCATGTGGCCTGTTGCTGTGGTGCTAATGGAAATATAACTGAAATATAACTTTTTGGGATTCTAAAAGCAGATGTTTTGGGGATGATTCTTTGGGAAAAGTTATTGATCTGTGAGAATTTGTATCAGCTTCGTAAATCTTAACATCCAGTGTCAAAGGAATCATTTTTTGTGATGCATTTCACCACTATAACACCATGCTTAAATTTGATCTATCAACACTTAAGTGTAACTGAGTCATTCAACGTCAAAGAACAGAAAACCAAATTATACAATACACAACATGTGTAACTAAAGCAGTTTTAAATGAGAAAACAAATATGGCATTCAGGGCAGAATAAAGAGCAGACTGTAAATAGTCATATAATTCTAACCTTATCAAAGCCTGATGGATCTCGGCCAACTTCTGTTTCCTCCCACAATCTTGTTCTGTGAAGGAGATGAGTGTGAGTGTGGTGAGTGAGAGAACGGAGGGACGGATAAGGGAGAAAGAAACATTAAAGGGATGAAAGAGAGACAGAGAGGAGATAGTGGGAGGAAAACAGGAAAGGATAAGGGTGGTGGAGAGGGACAGGAAGATGTGGGGAGAGAAGGATGAAAGAGAAGAAAGACATTGGGGGTCATGTTGAGATTATAAAGAGAGGCAGTTATCTGAATGAAACACAGACACACAAATTCAAAAATAGGACGGCAACTGAGATTATTTTCACTGTCAATTGTTCATTGATCCCTGAATGATTATTTATAGCCCATTTTTGTCTGGCATGCAAACAATATCATTACAATGAATCTACTGATCATAATGAGTCACAAATATGGCCAAAGAGTTTGGATGAAATTCAAAGTATAATCTTAAGTGTTTGAATGGCTTAAACAAAGATCCACTGCTCAGTTCTCTTCTGGCACAGTGAATAAATGGATCATTTCCATAGTGTCTGCCTGGCTGTCAGCTGCAAGTTTCCAAACTGTCCAATGTGGCTGACAGGCTGCCACGCAAGCACCACTTGTAGATATGTGGCTGAAGTTTACTCTCACAAAAGCCGTGTCAACAAAACCACAACAGGCAAGTTAGATGTAGGTCAGAAAACGGTGGACAACTTGTGACTGGTGTCTTACAGTTTGTGTCAGCAGGTTGCAGTAATAGTATTAAGTTCTCTTACGTTTCAACTTGACTCCTCGACCGGTCAATTTTCTGTCTGTAGGCACCGTAAATCGATATAAAGGGTGATTTTAACGACAGAACTGTGTTCGTGTGACTAGTCTGTATTTTTGTATTTACTGTACGCGTATTAAACACTATTTAGCTAATGTGTCTGTGGTTGACTTACCTCTTGTGAGGGATCCATTCCCATTCACCCCAACTCCGGCGTTTTGTTTCTTCCTCTTGAGCCTTTTCATCCCCTTTAAAAACTGACTACCAAATGACGGAATGCGTGTTGTGCCATAGGCAAGTTAAAAAATAAAAAAATGTGTCACTAAACAGATAAAAACGCTGATAATACCTGGCACAACGACAACGTCTCTCACAGCTGTCTCGCTACAGGAAGCAACCTACCTTGACATCCCATTGCTACGCTGCAATTGGTCAGAAATGACACGTGACACCGCGCATGAATACTATTGGCTTTCCCTCGACTCGCACCGCAAACTAACTTTATTGTAGTTTTTGTTTTGTAGTTCTTTCGGCAGTGTTTGTTTTGCTATGTATAACAAATGGTAACGCTTGGTTGAAATGTGGTTAGTGTAGCGGTTACTGTTACTGTTTTCAGGCGCTACACATTAAATGTAAGAGGAATTAGAAAGTCGTTGGGCTGTAATGGACAAGTCTGGGGCCCTTTAAGTGCATGTATCGTGTGTATTAGTTGTTTATTTATTTATTTTACTTTTTTCTTAGAATGTATAATCATAAGAATGGGGAAAAACAACTGGCAGAATCCACACAAACAAAGAAAAACCACAATACTACTCGGAATATATTATATAAATATGTATTTTTATTTTAATGCAGTGACTTAAGTGCAATGAATGGATCTGACGGTGTGATTGTACATCCATTAAAACTACATTAAATCCATACAAATAAAGCCACCGGTTTCCTTGGTTCCCTGAATGTCAGATAAAAGTTCATCAGAGGACACGCAAAAGTAAAAATCTGCGCTGCCCTGAGTTTTGCCCCTCAGGTAGCGCTTGGTAGCATACAAACAAATTGCTCATAGTGATAAATCCAAACCCCAGTTATTACCCTGACCCCCGACAAACAAATGTGACATTTTAGTTGAGAAAGACATTCCTCTCCAAGCTGAGTGGACTGAATTTGATTTTAGAAGGAAATGACATAGGCTATTACAAAAATATTTCTTAAAAGCATATAGGACAGGGTGGGTTTGACATGGGTCATGGGGACCATAGTTGTTTGCCCCTTCACATCGTGACCCTACTGCTCTACTATCTATCCATGAATTGATATTATAGGAAACAACATAATCAGATGCTCATTGATTGATTGATTGGACTGGTGTTGAGGGAAATGATGCCTGAAAGGCTAAACCCGGGGCAATTTACCAAATAAATAGTCCTCTAAATCTACATTTAAAAAAAACTTTCTCTATATATCAAAAATGTTATGTTGGTAAATGAATGAGTGATAAGTAGGCTAGTTAATCATTTAAAAATAGTAAAATAAACAATTAGTACTTAAACATACAGTAGCTCAGGTATATTTTCCTCAGCTTTTGCCTGTTAAAGGATTATGGGATCAGTGATAATGATTAATAAAATTATGTCTCGTATGTTCTGTAACTTTGTCACACCAAAATTTTCTGATGTTACAATGGAATATGCCCATTTACTGTAACTAAGAAATGGTCATGAAACTCCAGTATGAGGTTGCTAATCCGGAAATGGGTTGGGACTTCGGCTCGATAGGGGGATGTCAGCTGAAAACACAAACCTGGCAACCTGACTGTCAGTGTACCTTGAGCTGAAGCGGCGCTTTCTTCAGTACCAGCATTGACACTACTCCGGACACTGTTCGCTAAGTGCTTATTTAGAGCTACAGAGAGAAGCGGAAAGAGGCGATAGGATTCAGTTTGACCAGCAATGGCAGGCAAGTAAAAAAAAAAAAACATCTACACGACTGAAGCCACTGAAATGAGCGACAGAGCCGAGATGAGAGGGCCCGTAACCCGCCGAAGGAGGACGACCATCTCCGGCGGTGGCGGAGCGGTCAGCGTGAAGCAAGCCAACGGCAGCAAGTGGCACGATGCAGGGGAGAAACCTCCACAGTATCCCGCTAAAGGCAAAACAGAAGAGGAGGTGTACAGGCATGCAAGTAACAACGGGAAGATGGACAGACAGACGGGGGTGTCAGGGCAGCGGCAGCAGCAGCAGCAACAGCAGCAGCAGCAGCAGCAGCAGCAGCTCACAAACACTCCGAAGAAACAGAGGAGTGCAGTGGAAGATATCAACGAGAGACTCAGGTAACCAATGATCAAAATGATAATTATAATACGCCGCTGAAGTTACCTTCCAATTCTCAGGTGTCACAAATCAGACACTGTGTTTTTAAACAGTCTTTAGCTAGTCTGGGTTAATGTGGTCCAGACATGACAAGTGGGTATGTACCCGGTATGATGTGATCTAGATGGAGGGAAAAGCAGTAAAATCGCCCCTTTTCATGAATAAAAGATTTCACAAGAGCTTCGGTGGGTGAATGTGGTCCAGATTTCATGAATCTATGTACAGTGCATTCAGTAAGCGTTCAGACCCCTTCACTCCTCTCATGTTTTGTTATGTTGCAGCCTTATGTTAAAATAAAAAAAATAAAAAAAACATTTTCCCTTATCAATCTACACTCAACTCTATAATGACAAAGCGAAAGCAGAATTATAGAATTTTTTGTAAATTTATTACAAAGCAAAATCTGAAATATCTCATTGACATGAGTATTCAGGCCCTTTGCTATGACACTTGAAATTTAGCTCAAGTGCCTCCCATTCCTCTGGGCCATGTTTGAGATGTTTCTACACCTTGATTGGAGTCTACAAGTGGTAAATTCAATTCAATTCATCGGACATGATTTGGACAGGCACACGCCTGTCTATATACAGTCTCACAGCTGACAATGCATATCAGAGCAAAAACCAAGCCATGAGATGGAAAGAGCTGCCTTCAGAGCTCAGAGACAGGACTATGTCAAGGCAGAGATCTGGGGAAGGATACAAAAAAAGATCTGCTGCACTGAAGGTTCCCAAGAGCACAGTGGCTTCCATAATTCTTAAATGGAAGAAGTTTGGAACAACCAGGAGTCGTCCTATAGAGAGACGACTAAGAAACCTGATGGTCACTCTGGCTGAGCTCCAGAGATCCTGTGTGGATGAATGGTTGATAAAAAACAATCTAATTTAGATTTAATAAATAAAATCAAGAATGTGAGCACTTTAGCTTACAGTTATATACATACATATATGTATATACATATATATATAAGACAGGTGTCATGTAGCAGCCTTTCTTGACAAGACACATTTTACTCACTGTGAGAGAGGGGGTAGCTGTAAGTTTGGATACACTGCATATCAAGAGAATAGGTATGAGTGAGAACAGACATTATTAGAGAGGACACAAAAGCCTGACCCTTACCCTAAACATAACCATTCATTTTCTGGTAAGACATCCACTTCTCCACAGATGTCTTTACCTTTTGAAAACATGCATTTCCTCTCAGAGCCTGATGGGATTCCCATGTTTCTTGACTTAAAAAAAAAAAAAAAAAAAAATGTAAAGGGTGACATCCAAAAGTTCATGTGACACTGCAACCAGAATGCTGAAATGATTGTAGTATTTTTACTGGAGTCTTGCCAGCCTGATGAGGTGTCCGACGTACGTGTGTAGTGTCACAGCTGAGAAACGGCAATGGCATGTGCTTTTGCAATACTGTGCCTACCTCTCTGTCTGCACGGTCTTCTGCTGGTCTGCTCTTGCCTCATTGCAGAACCTCTCAACTCTTTCCTCAAATGCTCCTTCCAACTCCACTTTTGCTGGCTTTCCATTATTCCTCCGTCTCCTTGCTTTTCAAATTCTCCCTCCTTCCCACTATATCTTCTTTCCTTTCTGCCCCCTGCTCTCCTTCTCTTTCATCTCCCTGCTGTTGGCTCTTTGTGACGTATAATTGTGTAAAAATTGTTGCCTAATGTAATTAGTAATCTCAGTTTTCACAGAACCTTTTAACCAAAATTTTCACAACTTTTTCCTTGTCTTTTGCGGTTGTACAAACAAAACATGTGATTCATTCATTCAAAGGTGAAATGTAAAACAGAAAGTATCGCTTTTTTTTTTTTCTTCCCAGCTTGGGTTCAGATTTAATTTATTGTCAAATTAAAAACTCTGCTGTTGCCACAGTCCTAAATAAAACCATATGCTTGGTCATTTTCTTGATACCTCTGCCAAGGAGGTTATGATTTCTCCCGTGTCTGTCTGTCTGCTGGATTTCGCAAAAAGTACTGAATCAATTTGCACCAAACTGGGTGGAGGGATAGGGTATGGGCCCGGAAAGAACCCTTTAAATTTTGGTACAGATCCGGTCAAAGGGTCAGATCCAGGATTTTTTTTAAATAACTTTCTCAGGAAATAATGTGTTGATCTTACTGTAAATAGTCTGACATATTTATGGTGTGAAGATCTGACTTTGTACAATTCGATGCAGATCGAGATAATAATCTGGGTCTCACAGACGTGTGTAGATTTGTTTGGCCTTGTCTGAGGTATGCTGCGCACTATTCTAGTTGGAAAGGCTGCAAAATGACCACATGCTTGACATTCAGGGAAGTACAAATGATACCACTAAAATATTTTTTACAAAAGTATAAATATGTGAATTCTTTTTTAAAGATTTTTTACTATTTTGGGCCAATAATGAGTTGACTTACTATGAATCATCAGTACTGTATAAGATTTGAATCATGCTGCCTCTTCCAAAGCATGCACGCAGTGTGCAGTTCTATGTTTCTTGACTGAGGTTTGAGAGTGACCCCCGCTTGCACAATGATTTAATCTCTGAGTGCATCATTCTGCGCTCAACCAGTAAAATTGTTGGCTCTGTGTTTTCTTGCAGCTGTCACGTCTTCCAAGAGTCTCTCTTGAGCTCAGCCAGCGGTTACAGCAACTACAGAGGAATCCTCAACTGGTGTGTCGTCATGCTGGTGAGTAAAACCACATGTGCATTTAGAACTGAAAATGCGCAGGGCGCTGACTTCCGAAACTGTATACAGTTAGCAAATTTAGACTGTGACCCAGATAAATATTTCCCTTCCTGATATCTGAATGTCTGCAAGTCTAAAAATGACTCAAAGATTTTGAATCAAAACATGACAAGAGAACAAACAGTGCTCAGACTTTTTCTCTGATTTCTTCATGTTGCCTCAAAGTGTTCTCTTTGGCCTTTTTGTATGTGAGCACATCTGTTGTACAGAAAATTAGAGTAACTATTGCCTCACTGTAACCTCACTCTCTTTAGTCTCTCACTCTCTCTCACACAATATGAGTACTACATACTTTTGACAATCGCTTTAACAACAAAAGCAGAGGTGTCAGCCCACATTTGTATACATCCTCCTTCGACTTGGCCCTGTAATGCTGACTCTCTGCGATGCATAAAATTTGTTGTTGCGTCTCTGGGTGTTGTCTGGGAGGAGTCTGATAAGATGCTTTTTTACTCTATTTTCTCTCTTCACAGTAGATTAACCACATATGCATGCAAAGAAAGTCAACAGTTAGTTCATTTCCTGTGCTATTCCATTGCTACAACTGAGATTAAATGGTTGATTAGTGACAGTTTTCATTTCGGTTTAAAATTTTGATTCAGGAGTTTTAACTTTTCCTCTCGAAAAGTCAACTTTTTGCACGGACAGTTTGAATTATAACCATGAAAAAAGCCCTTCAATGCAGGACAGTTCATGCTCACAAATCATCGCTAGTACAAGTTCAGAGAGATCACTTGAAAGCAGGATCAGAAGATATGAGAGGAGTACTCTAAATGACAAGAAGATAAACTAGCAGCTGAAAGGCTGTGCTACAGTGTGTGTGCAGACTGTACACATATGCAGCCACTCTTTTAGACACTGCTTTTAGACACAGGTGCTGTGGGGGCCAGTTTCAGATGTACTGTGGTTGCCATGATGAATGAGATGTCAGTAGATGTCAGAGATTCTGGCTTTGGCTGTGACTGTTTACTTTAAATACTGGCCCCTAACCAAATACCAACATGACAGTCATAAAACATGGAAGGATGTTCACCATGATGCATTCCCAAACCTGCCTGGCAACACCATCCTACAATAAATATTAAATTAGTGAATTATTAATCTTGTGTTAGACACAGAACCACACAGTCTCATTGCATTACTGATCACAGATGTGTCACAGTTAATTATGTCCCCCCCTGAGTTAAGGTCACTTAAGGACAGCAAGGCCTTCTTTAGAGAAATGAACTTTCTGCCCTGTTCCAATGGCTGATTTCGTGTGTGTGTGTGTGTGTGTGTGTGTGTGTGTGTGTGTGTGTGTGTGTGTGTGTGTGTGTGTGTGTGTGTGTGTATGTGTGTGTATGTGTGGTGTATGTTGTGTGTATGTGTGTGTGTGTGTGTTGTGTGTGGTGTGTAGCTGTGTGTGTCCAGAGACTCCCTGTAGTGCCTCTGAAAATCCAGTCTCTGTTAGTATTTTGATATGCATGGAGGATACAAATATCCAGTTAGCTGTAATCCTAATGAAACTGAAATGGACCCAGACTATAAATAGAGCCCTGAACATGAGTGCAAGTGTGTATGCAAATTTCCCTGCATTTGTGTACAATGTATTTGAGCGCCTTGTGGAGGTTGATGTACATGTTTTTGTGTGTGTGTGTGTGTTTGCTTGCAGTGTATTTTTGTGGGTTTCTCTAAATCAGGCCTAATTTTGCAGCTCTCTGACAGAATTAATCCCAGCTTTGAAAGTTTAATATTGCTGTGACGACCACGTCCTCCACTTTGTGGTCACCAGGGACAGCTGAAGCCTTCAGGATTAGGCTCTAAGAGCGTGAGGTGGAACCACTGAGTCTTGTGTACGTGCGAACATTTAACTTAGTTGTGTAATTTGTCCTTGATAACCAGGACCAAAATGTCAGCCCCAGTGTTGCATGTTTCTCAAGATGAGAGTTTAGATGTGCTATTTTACTTCCTTCCTCTTTACACTCTTGAATGTTGAGGCCAAGTGTTTACAGATATTACTAATACACAATTTTAAAGCATACAAAATACACAGTACAATTATCATCCTGTGTCATGACTCCCAAGACATAGTTACCCCTTCCAATACAGATCCATCAGTGGGCAAACAGCTTCCTTTGTCTCCACACATTTCCAGTCCATTTCAAATCAGAGGTTTAAAGACAAGACATTCAGACAGTGTTGAGTAGAATTCGTGCTACTACATTTGTGCTTTTGAACCAAAAAAAAGAAAAAGATAAGTGCTTGAAGATACTGTCCCTTGCTCAGTTTGCCTAGATGAGAAGATATTTGGAAGACACAGTGTTGATCCCAGGATGTGGTGCACATAACTGATGCTTCAGCTGGTTCATATCATCGTTTGTTCTGATGTGCAGCCAAATAGACCATGTGAATAGCTGAAATGACCACAGGCTGACAAGGTCAGTGCAAAGCAAAGCAAAACTTTATGCCGTCAGCTGCAAATTTGTTCCAGAGCATGAAACTAGACTGCTAAAACTGAGGTGAAGTGTGAAAATGAGTGGCTGGTTAGTTTTATTTGTATTTCTGCAGCGTTTTTTGGATCATGAGTAGAACTGGCTGAGTGGTTATGCAGGTGCAGAACACACAGTGGGTCATGTCAGTGGTCTGCAGCCTGTTAGCTGTATTCTTTGCTATGTGTTGAAGGAAAACCTTTAAACAGAAGGCGAAGCAAAATGATTGATCATTCACTCTTTGGCTCTATCAGATAGTTCATCTGAGTGTTATTACTGGGATATTTTTTTGATATAAAGATGTTTGTTGTGTGAAATGACTGTTTTATTACTTAGGAAATTGTAAAAATGATAATAAAGAGAATTAGATAAGAAAAAGTCAGCTTATGAATATCCCAGTTGGATACTGGAAGATGTGACTCAAATTAAAAAGAAACCCAGCATTCTCATTTATGAAATAATTCATTAGAGAATGTGGACTTTCCTTAAACATTTAGAGTTTTTGATGTTGCGATTTAAACTCAAAATGACTTAGGCATGCAGGTCACAGAAATGGTTTCTTAAGCAGGCAGCCTGGGTTCAGATAATTGTTCCCTGCTGAAGTATCTTTTGAGCAAGAAGCTGAATTCCTGCCAGCTCCCAGAGTGTTGCTCTGTATCTAACACTGACCTTTGCGTGAACAGGGATGAGAGAAAAGACACAACTGCACAGTAAGATATTGCAAAATCAGATGTTGCAATGCTCTCTATAAATGGTCTGCACAGCCACTGTCCCATTTATCGTGTTATAGGTGATGGTGCTCTCTTGTCCATGCTGAAGGTTACTGAGGCAAAGGTTGGTGCTGGGGGACAAAATACATAGTTGGATTCAAAACCACATTGCTACAGGGTCTTGGCAGACCGGTGGTGCTGAGGTGCAATATGCCACATAATCACTACAGCGTGACCTTATCATGTGTCGTACCCTCACTGTCCCCATTATCTTAACTGTCTCTCTAACTCACATACTGATCTTTACTGCCATGTATGTATACTATACATATGACTCTTTGTGTGTTGAGTGGGTGTTTCGTTTTATGTCAGAAAAGCTCAGATAACTGATAACTGAGATAAAGCTGAGCTCGGACCTTGAACTTTAATACATAATATAATAATAAACAGGTGTGTATACCTGTTTAAGTAGGCTATCTAAAGTCACAGTTGTTTAGGAAAGGCACTGGTGTGTTCCAACATGAACAAGCACATTTCACATCTGCAGACTAATCATGAGCAGAGCTGTGTGCAAAGAAAATAACAAGCCAGATTTACAGCTCAGCATTTTTAGCTTCTAAACAAAGATTGAGTGAATGTCAAGATACAAAACAACCTTAAGCTCTAAAGTGTTTTTAAATTTCTTTTGTATGATTCTTGTTGATACTGTGATTAATACTCATTGTCTCCCTTGGGCTCTTTTGTCCTCTCTGTCAGGGGTTGAGTAATGCACGTCTCTTCTTGGAGAACATTATAAAGTGAGTACACACCTACACATGCTGTAATAACTTACACTTACAGCATGCAGTGTATATGCACAAGCAGGCGCTGTTACAGCTCACTCCTGACCTCCTCCTCTCATCCCACACCTCACCACCACCCCCTTCTTCTTCTGCAGGACAACTTGACAGAAGAATGAAATGAGACTTGCCAAGAAAGTGTTCTTTAAAAAAAATGCTCAAATTTTATATTAGATTTAAAACTGCATTATCAACACAGTATGGACAGTAACTTTCTTTGCTGACAGTCCTGGAGCTCACCTCACTGTTTTTTCAAGTTATCCTATTGTTATGGACAGCACAGCAGTTATGGGCAGAGACCAATATTGTTATCATAACCACACTAAACCTTTACCTGACCCCAGCAATCTCTAACCTCCAACCTGCACATAACATAACCATTTTTTAAATTATGCCAGGTGGGATCAATAATTTCTCTTCTCTCTTTTCTCATCTAGGTATGGTATCTTGGTAGACCCTATCCAAGTGGTATCGCTCTTCTTAAAGGACCCCTATAGCTGGCCAGCAGCTTGCCTTATCATTGGTATGGAGCCTTTATCTTACTGCCTTAATATCGTCTAAATATATGGCGAATGACCCCTAACCATTTGTCCACCTGCGACCTTCGGACTGACGTTCATGTTGAACTGAGCAAACAAGTGTTGTACCTGTATTACCCATACTGAAATCGGGTTCATCAGGTCGTCATTAGTCTCTCCAACAAGTGTTATTGTTGATTGCACTGAAACATGATATACAGTAGATGTAATAGGCCAGATGCTCACAGAGGCATAATTAGTGCCAGTGCCTGTGTACGGTATTGATTATTCACCCTGTACTTAGCCAAAGAAAGTTCTGATATTGTCTCTTTTCCATCAACAACTGGATTCATCAATGCACAACAAAACAATCACAGTAAAATTAAAATTACACTGTTCAGAGAAAATACTCAACGATTATAGTACCTGGAGCTTGCTCAGAAAAATCAACATGTAGTAAACCTACTATGGTTCATGTCTGCTGTGTGTTGCTGTAGTTGATTCATCTTTTTCCCTGTTCTGTGTTTCAGCGTCGAATGTGTTCATCTTAGCAGCCTTGTACACAGAGAGACGTTTAGCTGTGGTGAGTCTTCACAATGATTTGGATACTTTTTCCTAGCACAGATTTTCATTTACATCCGTTGACTCAAATTGACCTATTTCTTCAATTCAATTCAATTTCTCTCCTTTTTGAGCTTCGTTGTTAAATTGCTGAAACCTTCCACTTCACCTTTGTTTGGATCCCTAACGTTGACATTATCAAAATTATCGCTGTACTAATAGATGATTTGTAAGAGTAGTGAGTGTGTGTTTGCTTCTAAACTTATCATTCAGGTGTCACCCATCAAGGATGTTTGCTTAAAATAGGCCCTTGACACTTCCTGAAATCTACACAGTAAATTCAACATTACAGCCCCACCCTCTCGTGACATATGCAGTATATTTACTTGTAAAAAGCATGTGATTTCTAGTGTTGCTTTTCTTTGCTTAAAGGAAAAAAATAGTGACAGTATAGCTACACTCACTCATCAGATGTGTCACAGTGACAAGACTCCTGTCTGTTTCTCTTTTACTCCATCAAGGGAACCATTTCCAAAACTACAGGACTGATTCTTCACATTCTTAACCTGACATCCATGTTGATCTTTCCTTCAGCCACCGTACTCACTGTGACCTCCATGACCCCAGGTACATACAAATATCAGAATGTATATGTTATGTTAATGTGACATGCATGTAAAGCTTCTTGAATAAAAACAGTTTAATTCATGTGTATATTTTGATGCTAACACAAAAATATGGATCAGCCGCTTCAGAAATGACAATAAAATGATGTCAAGAATTATATACAATATATACAAGATTTTTTATGATTTTATATCTGTTTGTAGCTGTACACACACACACACACACACACACACACACACACACACACACACACACACACAGCAGTGCCTCATTCATCTGTCATTTATTGCTCCTAGTCAATATCTGTGTGTCTGTGTGTGTCTGTCAGTGGGTGGTGTGCTCTCTCTAGGTGTCTACACAGTGCTGTTTCTCAAGCTGTACTCCTACCAAGATACCAACAGGTGGTGTCGAGAAATCAGACAAGCCAAAGCCAAAAGAATGACACGATCATACTCGTGTAAGTACACAAACTCACTAACACACACACACACACACACACACACACACACACGTTAGGGAAATTATTATCATCGGTGGTGAAGAAAGAGCGCTGGAGTCCAGGATGTCTTATGCTGAGGATGTTTATTGAAGCTTGAGCCCAAGGAGAAAGGAGGATTCATCAATACAAGCTTCTGTGCATGATGTCACCTCAATTCTGAAGCAGGAACCCCTGAAGATAGTTTTTATACACTTAGAGGGATAACTATAGATAGCTTACACTCCATAATTGGTCAAATATCTAAAAGAAGAAGGATAAGAGGAATGTGTGAATACACTATTGGTTCATTAACCATAAACAAGTAAACATGACTATATACGCCCAAATGCTGATTCTTAGAACACCCAGCCATTTGTTACTGACCAGCCAAGGTCTGTTGTCATCAGTCGTGGCACCAGCAGTATCAGCAGCAAACCACAGCTGCTTCTGGAGGAGCCGCCTGAGCGTCTCAAGGCTTGTAAGATTTAGTGCAGTAGCTGGGGCACAGAGACCTAGGGCCTGACACTGACCTCTCACCCTGAGTCAGTCATTCATTAGGTGGACAAGAGAAAATTCCCTCACAACACACACACACACACACACACATGCAGAAATCCTTAAAATTCAACAGGCTGATTGTTTTGTTTATAATTGCATTTTGGGAACAACTGTTGAAGAACTTGGGGATGATGGTTAATAGAAAATTATCTTATGAGACTGAGGCTGCCAGCTACTCATGATCTGCGTTTGTGTGTTTTTCAGGTCCGTCTGTGGCCCAGTCCAATGGTTCAGCAGTTCACACTCACGTCTCCTACCCAGGCAACCTCACCCACAGAGGTAACCATGATGGCTGCACAGAGATGAGCCGCACAGTTTAAAATAAAACATTTTAATGATGAATACTATTATGTTGTTTCTTTGTGTTTGTCTTTAGACATGTACTACTTTGTCTTTGCACCAACTCTCTGCTACCAGCTCAACTTCCCACGGTCACCCCGAATACGCAAAACTTTCCTGATGAGAAGACTTTTTGAAATGGTGAGAGGGAACACGACCCACACACACACACACACACACACACACACACACACACACACACAATGTCCCTCCTTCACAGTTAATGATGTTATTCAGTTGACAGACGTGTCTTGTTTTAATCATTACTTTCCCTTTCTCACAGCTTTTCTTCATGCAGCTGCTGGTGGGATTAATACAGCAGGTACGTTGAATATTTATATGACACACAACACAGACAAGCCTCCAGAGTGTACAACACACACACACACACACACACACACACATTAAAGCATAAGGTTCAATGGAATCAGTTGTCATAGAAATATTTATCTCCTGTGTCTTTCTGTGTTTTTTAATGTCTTTTCACAATTCAAATGTGTGTCTTCCAGTGGATGGTTCCCACTATACAGAACTCAATGAAACCATTCCAGGTGCGTATACTGTATATACAAGCACACACTCATACACACCCTAAATGCTCACTGTTTACCACTTTTTCACAGATGTACTAACCTCTAAGCCTCTGCTCTGAATTGAATTCATGTAATCTTAAACCAGTAGTATCTCAGTGTCTATAGGAAATGAAGACAAAAGGCTTTTTGGCAGAGCAAGCGGCAAGAAATTGTGGATTGTAATTGGTGTTTTCTTAAAGATAAAACACAACAAAAACGTGACATTTTTTATTCCTTGTGTTTTTCAAAGGAAATGGACTTTTCTAGGATGGTGGAGCGCCTGTTGAAACTAGCTGTGAGTATCATGACGGTCTCACATGTGTATCAGGAGTTTGTACAGTGGAGGAGTAGCAGCAACGTGGCAACCGGGGTGTAATCTTACCAACCCAGACACCTTTCCCCAACTACTCCCTTCCCCCTCCCCTCCCCTCCCCTCCCCTCTTCTCTCCTCTCCTCTCCTCTCCTCTCCCAGGTCCCTAACCATCTGATATGGTTAATATTCTTCTATTGGTTTTTCCACTCCTCCCTGAACTTTGTGGCAGAGCTGCTGCAGTTTGGAGACAGAGAGTTCTACAGGGACTGGTGGTGAGTACAGAGATCATACAGTAGAGGTATTAGTTCACATACGAGAGCGGAATATTCCTAACATTTAAAGACACTCTGACCAAAACCAATGGAAACACTGGCACCTGCTCAGTTTGGGTAGTTTGGTAGATTTTTTCCATCCCGCTAAAACGTCACATACAATTTTTGCATGTGCACGAACAGACCATGTGCAACACGTCACACAGGAATAAAAGCGTATGTATTAACATATGTAACCATCACTGACAACACAGTGCTCTTGAAGTCAGACTCTCTCTTTTGTTCCATTTCAGGAACTCTGAGACTGTCACCTATTTCTGGGCCAACTGGAATATCCCAGTGCACAAGTGGTGCCTCAGGTGAGCACCAAAGTTTCTATAATGGGTTCTGTCAGTTTTTCTTCTCAGCATTAACACTCTGATCTTTTGGCTTCATATTCTCATTGTAGTCTGTATGAAACTAAATCTAAAGTACAATAATCAAGAAATCAAGGTGTGGACAGCCATTTCCTTGAGGGTGTTTACAGCCAGACTTAAGAGATAAAGATCAGTGTAATTTGTAATTTGAGTGTCTGTGTCATTTATTCATGTGTCTTTATGTGTTACAGACACTTCTATAAGCCAATGTTGAGGAGGGGGATCAACAAGTTTCTGGCTCAAACCGCTGTCTTTCTGGTGTCTGCCTTTTTCCACGAGGTGAACCAACAGCATTCAGTCTTCCTCTATAACAGATAACACTACTACAGTCTTAGATCGTTCAACTTCGGAACATTTTGATTTACTCACACTTAATGTCTGTACGGTAAACACACACGTTTTGGACAGCTGTTTTAGTTGCACTAGGCAGCAACAACTTAGAAATTAGCATAAATAATTTCAAATCACAGATAAGACGACGAGGTATTATATTTTATGCAAAATCAAAATGTCATGTGTTATATTAGCATTTTGAGGGACTGAAGGAAAATACAAACTGACTCTTACAGCTTTAAAAGAAAAAAAGTTTTCCCCTTTCCATTTACACTGTTGGAACCCATTTGAAAAAAAGAAATTCTATATAGGATTTTATTTTTCATGCTGCATCTTTCTTCTTCAGTACCTGGTGAGTGTTCCTCTGAAGATGTTCAGACTCTGGGCCTTTATGGGGATGATGGCTCAGGTGAGGCACACTGAACTGTCTATCCCTTTCACTCTGTCACAGATAAGCTTTTCTCCTCCGGCTGCTGTTTTTACTCACTCCACACTTTCACACAAACCTGTACACAAGCACAGTTCTGACCTTTCGACTTAAACGTCTGCAGGTTCCTCTGGCCTGGTTTGTGGGCCGCTTCCTGAATGGAAACTATGGAAACGCCGCCGTGTGGATCTCCCTCATCATTGGCCAGCCTGTCGCTGTGTTGATGTATGTCCATGACTACTACGTCATCCATTATGGGAGCACCACATAGTACTAGACAAATGCATACATGCTCGTACACTACACTTGCACACGCACACGCGCACACACACACACACACACACACACACACACACACACACACACGGTGAGTGAATGTACAAGAAATTAAGGCGGCAACAATGGAAAATCCCTGCTAATAGGAAGCTGTCAGGAAACCACAGCAACAGCAGGAAAACTATCTTGACTTCTTCATTTTTGCACTTATGAGAAATGGACCACAGTATGTCAGGAACTTATTCTAACAACATGAGAAGTGCTTGATTCAAAGCAATATTCCACTTTGGTATGACATACGCCTTTGTGGTCAGCCGTCAGTATTATTAAACCTCGGGAGCCACCATCACTACCAGCTCTCATTATCTGCATCAGCTGTTGTTAATAGCACTTGGATTTCTGTTATTGAAATTGATCCCTCACTTTGCTAGAAGTATGTTTTTATCAAAAACAAAAGCAAATGTGTGGTGCTAAGGTTTCCCAGAGTGGCCGATATTGGCGGTTGATGATCCATGAGCTCATACAGAGGTTAGGTGCCCCGATTGAAACCATCATGCTTAAGCTTTAACAATTTCTTAAACTTCAAAAGCACTTCAATGCATTCAAAAGTGGAAACACAGCTTGCACCCAAGAACTCCTCCCTGTGGATATTTTAAAATGCACACACCGTCCTGTGCAGCAAATACGAGCCACTGCCGAGCGAGCACAAGCCAGAACAGGATCCTGCCACCGTCGAGCCAACAAGAGAAATGTTGTGTCTATATCAGTGGCTGAGAAGTTGCCCTTTTTCTTGAATCCAAAGGCAACAGAGAAATTTTGAAGCCAGTTTGTTTTTGCAAGCCAAGGCTCAAAAATTCTAATAGCCAATTCATGTCTTTTTACGTTGATTCTGTGTTCCTATTCAAGCGAATGGGAGAATGGTGTCAGACGTTTTGACTCCACTGTATATATCCTGTATATCCCCCCTCTTTGATGCAATGTAATTGTCAAGAACCACAGACGTTTCTATAAAAGGATTTGTTAAAAAAAAAAAAAATAAATAAATATGTGAAGAAAGGACCCCTCTCCAAAAACAAGAGAAAGTAAAAAGCTTGTTTTCGTGACTGTACAGTCGTGGGCCTGCAGGCAGCCTCCTCTCTCCTGTTTCTCAACTACAAACATCAATGCAAGCTCTCAGTATAACAGTACATGCTACAGGTGTGTTATTTGCCTTGGCTTTATTAGCTTTTTTTTGAGTTGCACTGGAATTATCAGATGGTTTATTTGTATAATTTTATTTGATGTGACAGCAGTTACATTGTGCCATCTGAAAGATATTATTTATGTTGGATTTTATGTTAAAGGAATGATTTAATGCAGTAGTTGATTTACTGATCTGAACCAATGAATGTTTTTTTGCACTTTAAAGAGATGCATGCTGTTAAAGCAATAGATTTATATGAATGTATTCTTTAAGTTGTATCATTCATGTGAGGAAAATGTGTTATGTCGGAATAATTTGTATGTTCTGTAATTTGCTTTTTGACATTTTCTCGTACATGGTTGGCTCAATTTCAGTTATTTTTTAGTAAAATAGCAGATGCAGCAGAAATACTTGGAGTTTCAAACTGCCTTTTCATGCCAGAGGTTTTTTCAATATTGAAATCCTGAGGAGAATCTTTTTCTTGATTTGATCTCGAAGTTAGAGCCTGATACTGTTGCCAATATGGAAATTGCCATATAGAATTTAATATAGGAAGACAATTAGTTATTTTACTTCACGTTTTAATCTGTTTTCTAAATACCCAATGAGAGCTGAGTGACCATGTTAAATCAGAGCCTTTTAATGTTTAAAAACATGTCCCGTATGACTTCCTCATTGATCACTTTTCAGGGAAATAATGGTTGTTAAATCATAACACCAGTCATCAAAAACACTGCGTGTTCACATTCCTTGTTGAAAAAAGTGCCTGCTGTAAAAAGTATGCTTCAACTCCAAATGTAAAAAGACAAATATGTTATATGTTATGTGGAAAAGACACCGAGGCCAAATACTTAAAAAGGAAAGACATTTCCTTAACCTTATTCTCAGTAGCCAATGGATTCACAATGTATTCATATTGTGGTGTGTTTAAGTATTTGGGAACCTCCAGTAAAACTTTGGTTCAAAAGTTCAGTGCATTATTGTTAGTTGAGTAAAAACACTAAAACACTGAAGTCAGTCGGTGTCAAAAACTGCTGGCAAATGACTAACAACTCCTGAATGGAACTTAACTTGAAATTTAGCCAAACTTAGATAATTTGACATCCATTGGTAAATAGAATTTAATTGAATCAAACGATGTGGATAGAAATTTTATTTTTTTTCATTTGAATTACCCTCATATGAAAAAGTACTTCCCAAACCAAGGTCTTTACTTTAAATTCTGCCTTGCTTTTTATTTTTTGTGAGAAAACTGCAAAGTATGAAGTGACAGGGTGCCGACCTGTGCATTGAACATAAATGTCTTGAGATGGATTTATCAAAATTCTTTTGAGAATAGGTTTTATCTCTCAGCTCACCTTTTTGTGGTATTTGTCTGAAACCCACCACTTTCTGTTTCTACATTATAACTGCACTAAGTCTGCTTTTGGAATATGAGTTTAAAATGCTAAAGATGCAGCTTTAAGTTGAACTGTATTTCAAGGGTTGATTTTGCCATTTCATTATTATGTGATGCGAAATGTAAATTAAGTGTACTGCTAATTTGTTCATACAAATGTAAACTGAAATCCAAAGTGAAACAAAGATTATATGTTTTGGGAATGAAAATAATTTTCATAGCCTTTCACTTGAAATGATTTGTGTGTTTGATAAAGATTGTTTATATTTGATGAATGATCTCGTCTATTTTTCTTTGCATTTTTGAAAACAAGCACTTGGTCTTCAGTCTAGTGGCAAGTAACATTGGATTATCAGAGACTTTCTTGTTTATCAGCACACAGAAGATGGTATCTGTAGAATCTGTATTTGTCTAGAACTATTATCTACCGCAAAAATATCATCACGACAGTTGATACGATTAGTCCATAAAAAAACTTTATTGTGCAGAGAGCAACACAAGACGGCACTCAAAGTTCCAAAATTACAATATTACAAAGTTTTAAAGTTCATATGTCTACACACAGAAAATCTTACAGCTAAACGTCATAACAGGTCTGGGGTTACGGTGCAGGTTGAGAAGCTCTACTGCTGCAAGACACAAACAAACAATTGTTAAACAAACATTGTCTGCATAATTATTGTAATATATGCACTGTATGGTCAAGTCAATGCAGAGGTGTCTGTGTGTGGATGTGGATGTGTCACCTTGGCTTTCTGATTCTGGACGGGCAGATAGAGTTTAAACTCTGCTGGAAGCTCGTCCTCAGAGTACAGTCTGTCTGAGAAATACACCCTCCTTATTCGACAGTTAGCGTGGATCTGAGAGAAAAAACAGATTAGACCGTCAAGATCTTACAGTCACATTTGTGGAAGTAGCGTCTGAAAACAGCCGGCTCCTAGTCTGTCTCTGTGCACTGACCTGTACACGCAGCGTTTCAATATAATTAGTTCCATAGGCCCTCCTGGTGAAGTCCGACAGGTTGAACTGAATCTGGTTCCATCCGTCATCCAGCCTCATTGGCATGGTACAGATGAATGGCTTCACTCGTGTTGTGCTCTGATAGTTACTTGCCCGAAACCGTCGCCGGACATTTTTATCATCTAACACCTGAGGGTTGGAAAGATAGCATGAGTGACTATGAATCCCAACACTACAAGGAACAAAACAAAAAATAAAACATCTTTCCTGAGTCTAAGTTTGCAATGTGCATAAACAGTATACAAGGCTATGTATTTGTTTGTTTAAGCCACCAAGACAAAAAGACAAGACAGCAAGGTAAGTGCCTTCCCCACCTGGACTTCAAAGGTGAAATACTTCTTTAGGTTCTTGATGATCATGACCAGAAAAGGAAGCTTGATGCCCAATGTCTTCTTGGGGTCTGCAGGACATGTTATATATGTGGTACTGTAGGAGTCACGAGAAAGAAGGTGAGAGGGGGGAAAAATTAGTGTGTTTGCACTTGTTGACCTCAGCTGAAAGATGAATTAAACACACATACAAACTCACCTGACGTTTGTTCCTTCAACCTCCAACACCAATGAGTGGATGTCGTTGTCTGTGATTCTCTTGATGTGGCCATTTCTCACCTGTGAACACAGAATAGTATTAAAGTTTCTTGTTTTGTGTGGAGCAATTACCTGGTTCTCTCTGGTAAAGGAACACCATCACCATCATTCAACTTGGCAGATGTTAGTTTGTTGCAGATATACTACCTGTGTTTGTGTATATGATGGTTAAAAAAAAACAAGGAGCTGCAGGACAGAAATGCCGAAGATTTGGTGAGAGGTCATTAAGAAATAGTGACACAGATAGTTTGCAGCTCAGCTCAGTACATATCTTTGTCGATAAAATACATTTACAATTACATATGTCATTTATAGTAATGTTACAAATAACTATCATCTGATCATATCTTTTAATCTTAAATCTGAATTTACGTATTGGCCTTTAAATTCGTATCGATCGTGCTGTAATTCAGATGCTGATGCAACAGCAGTCAGACAAGAAATCAGTGAATACTGTCAGGAAATTTTTCATCTTTAAGTGTTGTAATTTAACCTAAACTGTCTTTAACAAATGACATCTCCACAGCTTCTATTTATAACTGTTGTTTAGCGACAGCGCCTTCTGGGCTCACCTTGTATCCTGCTAATCTCACATTTAACAATAAGTGAAAACAGGTGCCTTCATGAATTGAACAACTGGTTCAAATAAACAACATTGTTAGGTCAGAGTTCCTTATTTTATTCGAGCCCCAGGAATTCAGTCAATCATTACTGGTGCTTTGAATCACTAGATGTGTTTGGTTTCAAAATGTCAACAACGGTAAATATGAACCGGAAGAAATCTGAAAGCGTTATAGAGAAACAGTGGTAAATAAATAAATCGGGGAAATTATTTATACATTTGTTCTTTACTGAAGCAGAATGGCCCCACTTAAAATGGCAGCTATATTAGACTTCATAACTTAGTCAGCTGTCTGAACACTTGGTCTAAAACATTTTACACCACAGATTAAAACTAACTGTAATATTATCACGCGTTAAGAGCAAGACATACATCGCCAATTAGCTTTAGCACGACATGCTAAGGAAGCTCGGAGTAAGTTCAAGGCGTTCACTGTGAATAGCTGCTTACCTTTTTATCCCATATCTGGAGTGGTTTGCTGCCGATGCTGTATAAGATAGACAAAAATCCGCTCTGGAATGTGTTTTTAAACATCTTCTGCGTTTAGCCCGCTGTCGTTTCGCACATGTGTTTGGATCTACTACAACTGTTGCTAACAGGCGATACGTTTGTTTACAGATTTGGTTTCCGTTCCCAACGCTACCGCTTCCGTGGGGTACTAGATAATCCGTTCCGCTGCTGGAAATTTTAAAAAAGACCTCCTGGTCAGTAAATTTCAAAACGATTGATTGAGTTGGTATTGAGATGTGCACACACGTATCTTTTAGGGAAGCGCAAAAAGAAACGAAAGGAGCCCCTACTCTTTATTATTTTGGTGTTGCTAAGGAACAAAATCGCGTGGCCTTGTTTACACCGGCTCTTAAACGGTGACGTTTCTCGGTTGCCCTGGCAACAAAATGCTGGAGTGTCCGCCACATCAACGAGTTGAATCGAAGGTATCCTAGTTAGTTAATTGTCATTTGTAAAGCAGGCTAATCAAGTTGATTTGAGGTTGAAAGTAGAGATGGTTTGAGAAATCCCATGTGCTGAGGAAGATTGTGAGATACAGTCGGTGATTGCTTCACATCATTTCTGCAGATTTGTCCGCTGCACATTCATACTGCCAGTCTCCCGTTCCACCACACCCCAAAGATTCAGATCTGTTTGATTCAGATCTGGTGACTGGGGAGGAAACTGAAGAACTCATTGTCATCTTCATGAAACTAGTGTGAGATGACTTTTGCTTTGTGACATGTGCATTATCATGCTGGAAGTAACCGTTAGAAGGTGGTAAATTGTGGCCAAAAAGGGATGCACATGGTCAGCAGCAACACTCAAACAGGCGGTGTCATTCAAACCATGATGGATTGGTATTAAGGAGAACAAAGCGCAGCCAGACAGCACCAACCAGTCTGCCCATTCGACCTCCCTATATATCTATCTATCTGTTTTATGTGAACATTAACTGAAGCTCCTGGCCTGTATCAAGATGGCATGCACTGCACTGCTGCCACATGATTGTCTGATTGGATAATTTCATGAAGCAGGTGTACAGGGTTCTTAATAAAGTGTTCAGTGAGTGTAGGTGGATTTAACTAAAATATTGAAGATAGATTGGCTTCATTTTTCCTCGGTGACGATACATTATCCTTGCTCTTTGTCACCATGGTCATAATTCTGCAGTGGCTGCAGCAGGGCTGAAGTGGATGAACAGAGCACCAGTCAAAACTGGAATCATTTAGCATTGCACTTTCAGTTGTGGATACAGATTAGAAAAGAACTGTCAAATTGATGGAGCAGAGGCACAGATATCCTGCCTTTAATCTCTGGTATGGATGCTACACTTCACATAACGCATCTTGATAACGTCTTTCTCTGCTTCCAGTTTGCAACACAGGCTTTCTTTTAATGGTCCAAGCCAAGATAATCAAGCAATGTTACTTTGGTATTTTTCTTAGACTTTAGAAAACTCCTCCACAACTACATATGTTATTATACAATTTCAGGCTGTGTAGCACTCAATGTGCACAAGTGAATTGACTTTTAGATGTAAAATTGTTGGAGTGCCCCTTTAATTCCCAAATACAATAATAGTAACAGTCTCTAGAAATAGATTCCCCACACACAACTATATCTCTGCACTTCTTTCACCCACTAAATCCCACTAAAGTGTCAAGTGGGACATCCTTCCTCTTCGTCTCCAGCACTTTAAACAAACTGGGCCGGGATAGATCTGACAATGGTTTCAAATATTTGAACAAGCCGAGAAACATTCGATCAAACATTAGCCAGGCACTTTTGCACCATGACACACTTAACAGGGGGGGAAATAAATCAAAAGTCCACTCTTAGTTCCATAAGGACTGATAGTGAATAGTTTGACATTTTAACATGTACTGTACACAGACACCGACACACAAATGCACCTGGACATACATTAAAACACACACACACACACACACTAGACTGGTGGCCACCTCTCCAATTGTTTATGTTACTGTGGTTTATGAGGTGCTGCTTCTCTCTGAACAGTATATGTGTCCGAAAGAATGTACAAGACCTCTGCATTTTCCTCTGCACCAATGTGCTCCTTCTTTCTCTCTCAGTTCCTAGAAGTCTGTGTGTAAATTTAGTGTAACTGGTTCACAGCCTGGCAGCTTAGTAAAAACATCTACAGAAACAGTTTACACTTCTTTGTCTGTTTCTCACCATTATTACCCCCAGAGCCCCCACCCCTCTTCCCTAATTGAGCCAGGTATTAGCACTAAAACAAAAAGAGACCCTTCCAGTGTTGGGCCACCCCAGAGACAGCTTTAAATAAACTTTATTAAAGCCCACTTGGACAAAATAGTCCATTCCAGCCTCTCTTTTCTTTTGTCTCACAAAAACAACATAGTTTTTCTGTGTCGTAGCATCAGCCAGCTCTTCATTTTTGCACATTTTTCCTTTGCCTATTTTGCCTGCCTGTCACTTACTCACTACTCTCATTTCAGATCATGTTATTCCCAATTCAACCAGCTGCCTTCAGTGGATATATCCTATCCTGATATACCTGCTGATTTTCCTCCATTCCATCACAGATCGTTTATTGAGCCATCCAGTTGATCTAGCCCTTTCCCCAGCCTGCTGTTTTTGACCCCTCCCTGCCTCTTTGGACACTCAGCCTTCTGTCTTATGGGGCATAAGACTGGTTGCCCGTTTCGTCTGCCTCAATGGCCAAATAAGCTTTGCTTTTGCCTCATCATGTCTGTGATTCATGCTATGGGGCCCAAATCTTGTTTTGCTGAGCCATTACGTTCTGTTCTTCTCCTTCCCTTCCTCGTCCTTCCTTCCATCTTTTCCAAATCACTTTTTCATATATTCAGAGGGAGACTGAGAAAGAAAAAGAGATCATGAAAAGGGAGTTATTATGAGGGGGAGAAAGATTGAGAGAGAAGTTTGAAAAAATAAACAGAAGTGAGTGGGAGAGGAGAAAGGGGATGTGGATGATGATGGAATCAAAAGAGGAGAAATTCTTTTCTACATTTTCTACGATATGTAACGTGAGGGAGAAATGAGGAGGAGGTCCAGCTGCCTTCTCTGCTGGAGGAATCGTCCCGCCTCAGAGAGGTTCAGATCCAAACTCTCAACTCACTCTCTCCTATCTTTCCACTGGCTAACTACAGAAAGAAGACACGAGAATAGAAGAAGAGGGGGAAAAGGGGAAGACTTATAGCAACTTTACAACTTTGATATACAGATTTAAACATCTCAACTTTAAGAACCTGCGGGTGGATTTAGTGGAGGAGGACTTTTTCACCCTGTCCTTGTCTTCACCAGGTATGTTTCAGACACATTTTTAATTTACCTTTGGTTTCAATGTTTCACAATTGTTTTCCTTGTTTCATTTTTTCCAGGTAAGATCAGATCATAATATTACGAATATGAATATCTGCATCACTCTGCCTCATTCTATTATTCTGTCACCAATATTCACACTTAGGAGCTCCACTGTTGAATCCACGCTGAACACTGAGCAACTCCAACTGGACGCCTTGTACCTAAGCGTCCAACAGTAATAACAGCTTTTTTTTTTATTATACAAAAAAAGGCGTTTTCATTCAAGTAAGATCAAAAGAGTGAAGTTCTGTCTGAAAATGTTCGGATTTACTGACTCGAGGTTTAGCTTATAGGAGGCTATGGATTTAACAGTCTTTATGATCCAATCTTCATGCTCAAATGTGAATCCAGGCTCCAGACAATCATGTGGAGGCACACTTACATCCATAAATTATTTGCAGGTTTATTGTTTATTTTATTGGATCCCCATTAGCTTCTGCCACAAACTGCTAATCCGTGTACACACATTAAAAGATGTTCAAATAAAACACTGATACAATCATGAGAACAAGGTATTGGGTAACGACAATCTGCACAAAAAGACAGAAAAAGACCCACGCACTATTTCTTCGTTTATCTTACACGGATATAAAAACAAATAAACGTGCAATAAAAACATAATTGATAATGAGATAGCAGCAAGTAGGTATTTTTCTGTCCTTTAATCCAGGCCCCTGGCCATGTTTTATCCAACTGTCTGTATGATGATGAAGAGTGGAAAGACATTCCTCGGCAGGACGTGTTAACAGATAGGAACTCATCCGTCTCTGGTCTTTATAAGGAAAGTAAAGACATTTTGGCCAAAACCAGTGGTTCTGTCAAGTAACTTTTAACAATAAGCTGTGATTCAGGAGAAGTCCATCTGGTTTTCTGTCTTGGTTTTCAGTGAGAAACAACTTTCCTGGTCTGGCTTGTGAGTGTGTAAAAAAAAAAAAAAAAAAAAAAAAAAGGGTTCACGCAGGTGTCAAGCACATAAAAATTTCATTCAAAACCTTCAAATGAGGTTCCTCATTTAAACAACTTTGATGCAATCCCTTACAAAAAAAGTTACAAATTGTACAACATGCTTTGCATTAGAACCTCAGATTTAAGGAACTATTCATCATAACAAATGATAGTCACACACACTTTATTTGATATATCATAAACTAAATATAATGTCATAATGTCACAAAGAACTTGTTTTTAAGGCTACTACTTATTTTTCTAGAATATCAAATAGTCATGACTAAATAAGCAACAATCAAATTTATCTTCATTTATTTTGGAAAACACACCCAAATTATTATTTTTGTAGTTTAACAATCCAAGAAACTCAGCTAATCTGCTTCATTGGGACTATGCAGGTGGGATTTGATCAGATTTGAGTGACAGTAACAAAACAACCAATCAATTTCAGCCTTTAACTTTTAAGACAACACAGATGAGAAGTCCTAAAAATGCTCTGGATACAATTATAGCAGCCACAGTGCTGGCCTATCAACAGATTAATTTCCATAACAAGTGAGCAGTGATGGAGACTCACTCCAGTCACTGATTTCAGCAACATGATGAATTTGAAAGCTCCAGTTACAACTGCTCTACAACTTGTTTGGGCATTGCATCTTAAAAGTTACAGAACAAAATCGCCAACACATTGCTACATGACGGTTTATTTTACACCATTTTATCTGTCCGCACATCCTCTAAGCCAAACCAGATTGTCCTTAAATGTCTTAGTCTATATTTAGGATATTGTATAGTTACGTTCATCTGAAAATCCTGAGGATTTTAAAGCCTAACATCCTTTAAACAGGATGTGCCACATTCATCAAATTTATGACTCTTTGGAG